TGATTTACCTCCCCAAACCACCTCAATTTAAATGCTAATTCTCCCTGAATCGAGGGGGTAAGGCAGCTGTTGAATATTGTCGAGCTGTTTATTGCTGACGTGGAAGTGGGACACACTGGGAAGGGACAGGCAGAGTGGGGACAGGTCTTATCTGCAGCATCAGGGTTGGTGGACAGATGGGGCCGATGGCCATACCTGGTAAATTTGGGGTCATGGGCAGCTCTGGGTTGATGCTTTTCCCTCCCCACAGCCCTGTTCGACCGTGCATCATTGCAAATGGGGGTTAGGGCTGAAAGTTGGCAAGCTGGAGGGGGCTCCAGGGCCTGGCAAAACCTGACCAGTCTCTCCTTTTTTATCCCACCTCATTATACAGGAGTGGGGCATTGCTAAAATTAATGGCCAGTAAATTTGGAGTAAGTAACTGCTGCTTCAGAGGGTTTGCATTAAGCCTTTGTAATTCACTGGTACCTGAGGTCATGAAGATACAGCAAGAGAGATTTACAGCGTGCTTACCTTCTCCAAAGTGGCTGTGAAAACAGGGCACCCTCTTTTCTGTCTCCCATTGACTCCAGATCAATTTTGTTTTGTTGAACAAGCTAAAAAGATGCTATTTCCGAGTGCCCCTGTGTCAGATGCAGGCTGGGCTCTTGTGAGCTTGCAGCCACCGCAGCGGGAAAGCTCCTCCGAGGAAAAGTTGGCTCAAAAGCTGGCACTAAATAACCTCAAATCCATCTTGTTCTCCCCAAGCCATTGCAAGACAGAAAGAAGTAAGATTAATAAATTATTCTTGCCAGAGAAGGCATCCTCTCAGACTTGCATAGCAGAAAGCGCAGTCCTCGCACAGTCACTCTGCTGAACATAAGCATGCTGGATGATAATGTGATTAACATTTGTAGCTGTGCTGGCTCAGATAAGGGTAATTAAATCTCACGCTTCAGGGCATCAGCTAATCACTTGTGGGGTCATTTTATATTTATTTTATTTTTACCCCTTCATGAGTATATTTGCCCAGTCGCTGCGATGCAGGGTGTGCATCCACTGTTGGCGGCAGATGGGGGGCAGGAACCCCCATGCCTGCTGATGCTTGGATTTGCAGTGGGAGCTGTATTGGAGCAAGGAGGGGCTGTGAAAGGGTCAGCGGGCAGAACCCAGCCTGGAGGCCGTGTCCTTTGGGCAAAGTACAAAGGAGGGAAGGCACAGCCGGCTGAGCCAAGGAGGAGGAGCTGCTCCTTCACCCAGCGGTGTTGCTTACAGGAAAATGAAATGGATGTGGGTCAGCAGCTTATCGTTCACTACTGCCAGCCAAAATCCCACTGGCTTTCAGGACCTTGGTGAGAGGATGAGGTGCCTTAGGGCTCAGCAGAACTGTGCTATGGACCAGGACCCAGCAGCCGTGGCCCCATCCAGGAGGACCACAGCACTCCAGCTGCTCCCCACGCCTGCATCAGGCTCTCCTGCTCCTCCAAAACCCCCTTTTGCTCAGGGATGCTGGGCCTTCTTGAATTGTTCCCATGGGCTGTGTGAGACGATAGCAGAACTGCGTAGCATGGCAGTGCATTATGTGACCTTGGGTGTATTATTTAAGGTCAGATTCCCCAAAAACATCTCTAGTTTGCGTATCTGGTTTCAGAAGGACAGGAGGATGCTGGCACAGTGGGCTCTCATTCCTGTGTCCTCCTGTGGGTACCTGCACAGCCACGAATTGCCTTCAGCCCACCAGCATCCCAGGACGAAGGAGCTGCTGTCTGTTTCTGTGTCACCCAAGGCAATGTGTGGATTTTGAGACTCAGACAAGGTTACACAACATGTCCATCAAAACCAGGGTTTTGAACCCAGTTTAATCCAAGTGACTGCTTTCCTCCTCAGCCCACCCTGCCCATGAGAGAGCTCAGTAAAGCCTTTGGCCATTTGACCTTTCCCAGCATGAAGACTCATTTATCTGGAAGTCAGCTCCCTCCCAAGGTGGGAATGGACTCTGGGTCAGATGCTACTGGGGACTGAGGCTGTGAGGGACAAACAGCATTTCCTTGTATAATGACTCAAAATACCCCAAGAGATGTGCACCTCCCTTCCAGGAGAGCGCTGGCAGTCAACGAGTGGATCCAGTGTGCATCGTGCTGGAGAGAGCAGCATGCTCGCTGCTCCTGCAAGTATCGAGTATCTGCTCCATAAGCATTGAAGATATGCTAGGGGACAGAACAAGGGACAGAGGAGGATGTTGCAGGGCATGCAGGTGCTGGGAGCAGGCAGGTTTGCTGGACTCCCTCCTGGTCCCATTGGAATAAACCTGGCTCCATGGCTGGTAGGAACTGTGAGGCTATGAAGGTGCTGTCGTGCCTGTTGGAAATGGCACAGACCCCAAGGGGTGAACCCTGCACGTGGTCCTGCACCCGTGTGAAGGCTTGGCCATGCTCCAGGGAGAGGCACGCGTAGCGGCACGTGTGCAGGGATGCTGTCACATCCCTCCTCTCATCTGTGTCCTGCCCCTTTGCATAGAGCCTGGTGGCTTTGATCAGTGCTTCCAGAGAGCACAAAAGCCTGGCAGAAACTTTTCTGTGCCTCTGTGGTGAGCAGCGCTGTGAGCCACAGGGTTATTATGAATAAGGTGCGGTGGAAGAGGAGCTGCAGCCCTCTGCTGGCTGCGGCTCCGGGGCACACAGTCCTCTGGGCACGCCATGGCAGCAGTCACCTGGCACGAGCAGGTTTGGGGGTCCCCATCACCTGCCCTCCTGGTTTGCCTTTCTGCACACACAGACGCAGTGAGGGCTGGCAGGGCTCTGCGGGGGGCTGCGCCGTGCACCCTTGGGTGCTTCCCCCCATGTGGCTTCAGCTCATCCCTGCTTTGGGGTGGCAAGGAGTAGTGGGCTGGAGGTGGGGAGGGAGAGAGGAGGTGCAGGAGGGGTTTTGTAGCAAAAATGCATTGGCAAACTGCTCGTGAAGTGCTGCCTTGTGCTGCTGCTGCCTCCCATTATGGGAACACATTGTGGACATGCATTGGTGTGTGCACCCACGCCTTGACTCACACTTGCCCTTTGTTTTTCCTCGACCTTTTGACTGCCAAGCAGTTACAGCAAATGGTATTACAGCAAGCGACATCGCAGAGTGCATTTTTTTGGTAAATATGTTTTCACACAGGCGTCAGCTCTGAGCAGTAGCCGCTGTGTGCAGGTTCCCCTCTTACTGGCATGTATCTCCTCCAGCTTCTCCCTCCTTAGCTGCCTGTGCATGGACCGCCAACCCCCAGGTGCTGTCCTGCCACCCAGATGAGCCAGGCCCATGCCCAGGGACAACTGGTCCGTGGGCTTGTGGCACGGGTGGGTGCTGGTGACAAGATCTGGGTGGCTTTGTGTGAAGGAAAGAGGCAGTGCTGTTTTTTTGCATCTTCTCCACCCCATGCTCAGGTGCAGGGCACATGGTTAATGCAGTCTTGTGGTTTCTGCCATGCCTTGTGTCCCTGTCCACCATGGCTGATCTCTGCTGGCACTGCCATGTCTGTCCCCTTGCGTGGGGTGGTGGGAGAGCACTTGGGAAGGTGCCACCATTGTCCTCCTGGTCCTCTCAGAGGTGGCATGCGGGGCTGGACAGGCCTCTGGTGTGACCTGCCTGGACCTTGCGCTGACCTTGGGGTGCAGGGCTTACTCTTTAGGGAAGGGACAGGCCCCATGCTCCGGGGTGGCAGGAGGGCTCAGCACAGCTGCATCCCACTTTCCTGGTGTGGGATTGCACCTCTCTGGGGCATTGGGATTCGGTAGCACTGATGCTTTTCGCTTTTCTCCGCTGAGGCAGAGCAGCAGACACCGTCACGCTCCTTCCCGTGTTTCTTACCGACTTGCCTAATTTTGCAGCCCCTGCTTCCCACCACCCACACAGCTTCAGCCTCAGCAGTTTCCCGTTTGCATCACTAAGACAGCAAAAGGCTCAGAACAGCAAAGCGCTGCACTGCCATGGGGATCCCTGATCAGTAGGAGATTTGTGAGCACGTGTGTGAGCGAGAGGCTTTTCCCTTCAGACAAATAAACCGCTTTTTCTCCAGCAGCACCTAAACTGAAGCTCCTGAGACACAATCAGGCTTTGAGATGGGGATGCAGCATGGAGGCAGGCTGGTGCCAGGTGGCCCCACTTGTGTGTCCCCTCTTGCAGCCGCTCATCCTGTCTTGGGGCCAGGAGCATCCCTAGGCTGGTTTCATGGTGCTACAGCCTCCTGTTTGCATCAGTACAGGTTGCAGGGGCCATATCCTGACCACAGAGCAGAAGGAGGGCCCCAGGGAAGTGCTCCACCAGCCCGGTGTCTCACCACAGTGGTATCCTCGGAGGTTGCCGAGGTGTTTCCACTTGTGATATGATCATGGGATGATGGCGCATCCCCCCAGGGATGAGCTGTGGGGTGTAAAACCAAGGAAGGGAGGTAAACCCAGCAGCTCGCTAAAGGAAAAGCTATTAAGAGAAATGCAGCTGGGGCAGGCGGTGCCAGCCTGAGACTAGCCCAAGCCCCTGGAGCTGACCTGTTTTTGCAGGAACCTCCTTTTTTTCTTGTCCGCTGCCCTTTTGTCTCCACACCAGGAACATGCAGAGTCTCCTGGCCTATATTTTGGCTCTAAGATCAATATTTAAAATCCTCCCTCCCGTTTCCTTTGCGCAGGCGCGAACCGTTTTGCTTGCCGGGGCTCTCAGTGACCTGTCTGTTCACCATTTCAAATAATTTCCCTGGTATCGTTGTTCTAGAAACAATTCATTAGGGGCCCATTATACAATGTTATACCTGCCACAGTTAGAAAAGATCCTGTGTGTGATAAAATATCACTGCGAGCTGCACATACCAGCTATTTCTTTTGGTGTCTGTCTATAAATGTACATTTTCCATCCCCTGTTAGGTCTCCCACTCGGAGGAGGTGTCCCTCACCCTTCTGAGCTGTCCATCCCCATGCTGCCAGGGCGGCTCAGCACCTCTGCCCGGCTGTGGCCTGTGTCGTTGCTTTGCAGTTGTTTTTTTCTCTCTGCAGGGAGAATAACTTCATCAAGGACTTCCCCCAGCTGGCTGACGGTCTCATGGTGATCCCGCTGCCCGTGGAGGAGCAGTGCCGCGGTGTCCTCTCAGAGCCCCTTCCTGACCTCCGGCTTCTCACTGGTATGAGCTGCCCTCGGGCTCTCCAAGCATCCCTTCTCGTACCCTGGATCCCATCATGGTCCTAATGGCATTGGGAATCCCCAGTGCCTTGGCATCCCTTGGGATGCATGGCATCATGCTGAACATGAGCCAGCAGTGTGTCCAGGTGGCCAATGGCATCCTGGCTTGCATCAGGAATAGTGTGACCAGCAGGACCACAGCAGTGGGTGTCCCACTGGTGAGGCTGCACCTTGAGTACTGTGTTCAATTTTGGGTGCCACAGTACAAGAAAGACACTGAGGTGCTGAAGAGGGTCCAAAGAAGAGGGACAAAGCTGGTGAAGCATTTAGAGCACAAGTCTTATCAGGAGCAGCTGAGCGAGCTGGGGTTGTTTAGCCTCGAGAAAAGGAGGCTGAGGGAAGGCCTGGTTGCTCTCTATAGCTACCTGAAAGGAGGGTGTAGAGAGGTGGGTGTGGGTCTCTCCTCATAAGTTACAACCAATAGGACAAGAAGAAATGGCATCAAGTTGTGCCAGGGAAGATTTAGGCTAGACGTGAAGAAAAACTACACTGAAAGGGTTGTCAAAGACTGGCACAGGCTGCCCAGGACAGTGGTGAAATCACCATCCTTGGATGTATTTAAAATCGGTCTAGATGTGGTGCTAAGGGACATGGTTTAGAAGTGGGCATGGCAGAGATAGTTAATGGTTGGACTTGATGATCTTAAAAGTCTTTTCCAACCATAATGATTCTATGATAGCGCATGTGCACCCGAGCACGGGAAGGCAGCATCTCCATCACCACGAGCTCCAAGGAGCTGCAGCCATCTCAATGCTGGTCCTGCCAGCAACCCAGATACCCCATGACATGCCCACCAGAGAGGTTACCACCCCTGCTAAAATACCATTTCTCACCCCTGCGGCATGCAGCAAAGCAAGCGCTTGGTGTTAGTGTCCATGGAGCGCAGCTGCAGGGGCTGAGCACCACTTCTTCCTTTGCAGGAGACATCAAGTACGACGAGGCGATGGGCTACCCCATGGTGCAGCACTGGCGGGTCAGGAGCAACCTCTACCGGGTGAAGCTCAGCTCCATCACCCTATCTGCAGGTGAGGTTTTCTAGCAGCAGGGAGACACATGTCTACATGGACAGGTGGGTGGTGGTCTTGTTCTCCAAGGCACAGTCGTGTTGAGCATCTCACCAGCATTTCCCACCTCCAGGCTCTGCTCAGGCAGTAACTCACGCTCCCAGCACTGCAGCAGAGGCAGGCATAGATTTTTCTCCTTTTAGGGGGAAACTGAGGCAAGGAGTTTGTTTGGCTCGGTCACTCAAACCAAGAGCTGGGGTCAGAGCCAGGATTGAGCTTATCAGCAACACTGCAGAGAGGATTCGTGTGGAGGTGGCTGTGTATAAGTGCGCGCAACAAACAGCGAGCTCTTGAAAAATGTGGTTTGAAAAGGACTTGAAGCACTTGTAAATGTGGGTCATATAAAGCAGGGAGACACAGATGAAGAAGGGGCGGGCAGGAGGATCCTGGAAATGTCAAAACATTTCACTTCCATGTTTTTATAGCTACACATTTTGTTTCAGAAATGCTGAAACGTTTTGTTGCGACCTGAAATGTTTTGCCATTTCATTTCAAAATAGCATTTTTTATTTAAAAATCAACCTGTTTTTAAATGGGGAAAGAAAAAAAAAAAGATTTAGCGTAGACAGGCTGCACAGCCCCAGAATGAAATAACACTCAGTGCTGAATAAAATATTTGGATTCAGCTCAAAATGAATTCTTCTAGCTTTTATTATTAAACCAACCTTCTCCTTCAACCTATCAACCAACCAACCGGATCACCTCATTTTGGTGACAGTTATGACGTGTTTTCTTGCAGTATGTTTTCAGTTCCACCACTGACCCAAACCAATTATATCAGCCAGCTCTAAATGATGCCAAGGCACGGTGCAGTCACCAACACCTCCATGATATTTCACATCCATAGAGCAGTGAGGGTCCATGTCTTTGTCCCATGCCAGCAGTCCCTGCTCAAGAACTGCCACCAGCCCAGCCCTGTGTGTCTCTCTTGGCTGTCTCCAGCTTTCCTAAAAATAGTCACTGATTTGCAGGGTATTTACACTGGGGATGGTTTGCAGTGCAACCTGTCATAAATGACACCAGGAGAACATCTCAGGTTATGGTTACTGCAAAGCAAAGGCCAAGCACATGCTTTGGGGAGAGCACTGATGGTGTCTCAGCCTGAAAAACAGGATGGAGCTGGCGGGAGGGTGTTTGTGTGTGTGTGTGTATGTGTGTGTGTGTGTGTGTGTGTATGTGTTTCTGTTCACATGCACATCCCTGTAAAATGACTTGAGGAATCTCTTAAGGAGAAGACTCATAGAAGGATGCCAAAGCTGCAGCCCAGGTAAATAGCAGTTGTGGATTCCAAAAAATCATGTAGACCATGGAGGCAAGAGAGGAGAAATTGCATTTGGTACCAATGCAGGGACTTATATATCTTGAGCAGGGAATCTCTGGGGTCTCCATCCCTCTGGGCTGTGGCTGGCAGCCCTGCCTGGCCAATGTGACGATCCCTGCTTCCCTCCCACAGGATTTGCCAACATCCTGAAGATCCTGAACAAGGACAGCAGCCGGGAGGAGCTGCTCTCCTTCATCCAGCAGTTTGGCTCCCACTACATCGCGGAGGCGCTGTATGGCTCTGAGTTCAGCTGCGCCATCCACTTCCCCAGCAAGAAGGTCCAGCAGCAGCTCTGGCTCCAGTACCAGAAAGGTGAGGAGGGCAGCGGGAATGGGCACGGCCACAAGTGCTGGTATTAATTTGTGCTGTTTTCCATCCATCACCCTCTCTTCCCAGTGCACACATCATCACCACTCTCCTTAGCAGGAGTCTTGTTTTTTTTTGTAGCACGTGTCCATGGGCAGCATCCCAGGGCCAGGTGAACCCACCTTGCCTGCTCCTGCCCCTCAGCTCCATCTTTCCCCAGGGGGGACCCACGTGCCGGGGGTGCTTGGGGTGGGGTGATGGAGATGTGACATAATTGAGCTGTCTCAGAATGGCTTCGTTTTATTGCTTGTGACAATGACGGTCTTTAAGGAAGTGTATTAAATCAATAGCAGACTCATTGTGCTACACCATAAATAACGAGACACATCATTAAACAGGGCAATAAACTTCAGGACTTTGAAGTAATACAATTAGGTTATGTTTATAAAAACTCCCTTATCGCTGTAGCCTTCCATTTGCCAATTCATCTCTCTCCTCTAGGGAGCTGGGGATATTCCCTGGCTCTGATATTTTTCTGTTGTAAAACATCTGTGAAGTTTCATAGGGCCCATCGTAGGGCTGATGTAACAGAGGTCACACAGGCACTTCCATCCTGCCTTGTTTCCCAGGAGCCAGCAGACAGAGATGCGCTCCCTCCCACCGCCTCCATTGCTTTCTGCTCATTTTTTCCCTCTGTCTTCGCAGCACAGCTCGTCTTGTAAGTGTATTTATAACACCCTGTAGTCATTTGTTTGGGTTTTAAATAGTGATAAATGAAGTTTGCCATAGCAGTGCCCCTGTTTAGCAGCAGAAAGCATGGTGGAGGTGTGTTGTGCACGTACTCACAATGTTATTAATCATCTGGGCATGCTCCCTGCAGTCCCTGGGTGAATGTGTTGGTGGGGAGCAGCCCCAGTGTGGCTCCATGGCCTCAGCGCTGACACTGCAGATACGGGTTTCTCTGGAGATGCTGGGTGGGAACAAGATGCAGATGCTGCAGTCTGAGGCTGGCACAAGCATTGCTGCTGTGTCACTGTGCTGAGGACAGAGGGGAGATGAACGGTGGCAACATTTGATCCAGTGGTGAAATACCTCCTGTTTCTGGACATAACACCTGGACATAAGCATTTTATTTCTGATCACGTGGCATTTGGGCACTGGGTGCTGGCTCCGACCTTGTTCTTCGGGTTTGGCTCCATCTGCGGCTTTAGTAGCTGGTGGGGCAGGTGAGGTTGAACTTTGGGGCCATCAGCATAAGTACAAGTGTTGTACTTAGCTCTGTGATGGCCAAAAAATGCTCTTGGAGGGACATGGAGGATGTTCGGGGCTCTTGCAGATACCAGGGGAAATCGGCTCTGTGGGTAGAGAAGATGTCAGGGGAAACCCAGGGCTTCCTCTTGGAGGAAAGCTGGCTGTTCATGGTAGACGGATTTTATTCCCAGCTCCTCCGCTGATTTACCCTCATTTTGCCAGTGACATAAGGAAGATGGGAATAAATAGCTCCAGCTAGGCAGTTCTGGATGCCTTCTCCACTCGGAAACAGCTCTGGCTCACCGTGCTCCCTGCTGCTAGCCATCCCATTTCCGAACTGCTCAGAGCGTGCACATATGCATCATCTCTAATAAATACAAAAGCGAGGCCAGGATAACTGTAATTTGTTAGTGAACAAAGCGGGTCAGGAAAGGAGGGGGAGAGGAGCATCTCGAGCTAATTGGAACGGCACCAAATATGATAAAAAATGCACATTGCAGCCTGTTTGCAGCATCAAGCAAAATTATTTTAATATTTTAATCAACTTCATAAATCAATCGGTGGGCCTCAGGAGGAAGCCTCCGCCAATAAACCGCACAATCTGCGCATCGAGCCCTAATTGAAAACACAGTCTTGAGGAGGAGGCTGCACCGCTGGCAGCAGGGCTCCTTGTAAAGCACCGGGCCAGGCGCTGGCTGTCTGCTGGGCTGGAGCAGCCCGAGCGCCGCGCTCGCAGCCGTGACGTGGGTCGGTGTCTGCAGAGCACTTCCTCCAGCCAAATGGAGGAGAAAGGGATCCAGCTCTTGCCAGGGACAGCAGGAAGGTGGTGTCTTCTTGCTGCCTGGACCCACCACCCTGCCAGGATGGGTGTTTGTAGGCTGCTCTGCATTAGGAATGCAAAATGTTCCCATTCCTCCTGCAAGCAGCTAAGGTGCGTGCTGGGGGGAGGTGAGGTGAGGGAGCTGCCTGCCTATGTTCCTAAGGGTTTACAGGAGTGGATCCTGCAAATGAGAGAGATGGAGAGGCATGGTGGCATGGCTGCAGCACACTGAGCATCACTCTCTTTCCAGGACAGACATGGAAACACCCTCCAGGCTCCCTGCTAGGAACAGTGTTAGCCCATGAACAGAACAAACCAAACCCCAATTTTATTTCATGCAGAGTGATTAAAAACTTGATTTTTGGGCTGCTTGCTCTGGTTCTGTGCAGCCAAGCAATGCTTTAACTCCTTGGAGTGGCCTCTGAGCAGGGACCTTGAGATTGACCCAGCCATTGATTTGGTTTACAGGAGCCTGCATCAGTTTTCTTCCCTGTCAAAGCCAGCATTTAATGCTGATGGCACCTCATTAAGTTCATACCAATTGTGTGAGCATCTTTTTACAGCTGGGACAAACGCAACGCCCCCAGCCACCTCCTGTTGTGTGCAAGAATGCACTGGGTCTGGCTGGAATGGAGTGAGCTGGCTCCATCGCAGCCCCTGTGGTGCTGTGCTTTGGATTTCCGGCTAAACCAGTGCTGATAACACCCCCGAGTGTTGGCTGCTGCTGAATGGTGCTTACACAGCATCCTGACTTCCTCTTTTCCCACTCTGTCCCCTCGGTGAGTAGGCTGGGGTGTTGGGCAAGATGTTGGGAGGGCCCACAGCTAGGACTGCAGACCCAAGCTGAGCTGTTCAATATTGTATAATGCCATGCTCAGGGATAAACTGGAGGTGGAGGCTGGGGGTCAACCCATCACAGAGAAACTCACAAAATGTACACGAGAGTGATCCCTCCAGCCAGCAAATCCACCTGCCAGGGATGGCTTCAGTCCCCACTAAAGGTTTATCAGAGACCTGGTTGCTCTGCAGCCCCTCGAACTGGCTCGATGAGGAGGAGAGCTTGGTTAGGGAAAGGGAAGAGCTGCTCTGACAGCAAAGTCTGACAGCCCCGGTGGGATTTGCCCAAGAGCCGTTCTAGCTTGCTTGTTCCCACTGCGATACAACAAAATGCAGAACAAATGCCTGTAAGTGCTCTTAGAGAAAATGGAGACATTATCAGCAGTAACGCGGAGGGTCTCGTCTTGTCAAGCATTTGAGCAACAACCCTTTTCCTTCACGCGGTGCAGACTGACTGAGCCTCGGCATGGGAGACCTGTTCTCCAGCTGGGAAAAGTTGGAAAAAGGAGCGGGTGTTGGTGCTGTGCTGCTACAGAGGAGCAGGTGGGCTCGGGGAGCTCCTCTCCCTCCCCCCGAGGAGCTGGGTGAGGCACGGCTGGGGGAGCGGGAAGGGTGCTGATGTACAAGGGGGTGGGGATTCAGAGGGTTTCCTGACCCAGGCATCAGTTTGCAGGAGTACTTTATGTCTGCAGTGAGTGAGATGTTTGGTTTTCTTACGTTTCCTATGATCTCTAGATAAATTTCCTAGGTTGAGGTTGCCTGGCCACGGTTGGCACTCAGCAAGCTGAGCTTTGAAAGTGGTTGTTACAGAAGTGACAGATGTTCCCTCTCAGTGACAGACCATTTATTAAAATAGTCCACGGAGGGGCTGTGTCCTGACACGTCCTATCTCACTCCCTAAGGCTTTCTGCCCACCAGTCACTCCAATACTTGCTTCTCATCTCTTGGACCACATCTCATGAGTTGTATTTATTTTTCAGAGGTGACCATTTTCATGCTTTCAAACTAACTTCACAGTTTAGACAAAGAACATCATAAAATACAGGCCACTTTAAGCATACAGCCACAAACTCTGCTAAAATAGCAGTCCGTGTTCTTCTGAGTAGGGCCTGTGGATCCCTCCCTGTCCTCTCAAGGTCTCATTCATCTCCCTTCAGGTCTGGTAGTGCCTTAACACAATTAAGATTGAACAAGTCCACAGGAACCTTTACTTTTCATTTCCTAGACACAATCAGGTGCATTAAGAAAGCTGTAAGACAAGCTTTGCATCTGTTAAAGGAGATAATGGCTTTCCCTTCTATCTGCTTGGTCAGAAGGAAAGCATATAGAAGTTCCCTGTCCTTGAGATCTGTTCCTCTAAACAATCACTCTATTACCTTTGTAACGCGCTCACTTGCATGTGGTTTTATGTCATTATATTTAGTTCAAAACTGCAGATTTTGACATTTTGTTCGGAGGTGGAAAAAACAATCTAGCTGGTTGCCGTGAAATTTAGTTTAGACTGAAATATGTGCTGTGACTCAGTCTGCTAAATGACCTTATGTGCTGCTCATTGTAATCCAAAATTGCCAGGCAAGTAGAGTAATTAGTTGTGCAAAATGAAATAACTTTAAATCCTCGCATTGAGTAGTGACCCTGAAAAATCACTTAAGCTATACAATAGAGAAGACTCAAAGCATCTGGCTTCAGTTTTACTTCTGTAGCTCTGTCCCCTTTGATTAAGAAACAGGCTCTCCTGCTCACCCCTTCAGAAACCCTGGCTGTCAGTTTTGCTGCCCAGAACGAATGCTCACAGCTTAGTTGCTGCTACCGTAAGAAATTATAGCTTCTACTGAAATGGCAGGGTAAAACTAACAGCACCGGCACGGCAGTTGTTCTGTGAGGATCATGTATGACTGATAAACCAGCAACTCGTATCTGTTTAAAGAGCTGCCTCATATCATCTGAGATGAGCCCAAATGATAAAAAAGTGATAAAAGCGATAAAAACCTTCACTCAGGGCAGCACACCCAGGGGCAGACCTGCACGTGCTGCTGCTGTACGGATGCCTCTGAATGCTAAGTGGCAAATTGCTTAGCTCTCCTTTGGCTCCACCTAAATACACTGCTTCTAATAGGGTTTTTTGCAGCATTTATCAAAATCATAGAATCATAGAACGGTTTAGGTTGGAAGGGACCTTAAAGCTCATCCAGTCCAACCCCCCTGCCATGGGCAAGGACACCTCCCACCAGACCAGGTCACCCAAGGCCCTGTCCAACCTGGCCTTGAACACTTCCAGGAAGGGGCATCCCCAGCTTCCCTGGGCAACCTGGGCCAGTGTCTCACCACCCTCACAGTGAATAATTTCTTCCCAATATCCAGTCTAAATCTACCCTCTTCCCGTTTAAAACCATTCCTCCTCATTCTGTCACTACCTGTCCTTGTAAAGTCCCTCCCCAGCTTTCCTGTAGGACCCCTTCAGGAACTGGAAGGCTGCAATAAGGCCCTTATTATTAAAATATAAAATACTTTATAATATAAAATTATCCAGAGAGCCAAAAAGCCCCTTCATGAAGCAGGGACACGGTGCTGATGCCTGCAGCCAGGCTCCCGTCACTGAGCGCTGGGTGCCAGCGAATTTGGAGCAGACCTTTAAAACATCAGGTATCGGCTACAGTGAAAAGTAAGATACTGCCCTTGTGGGAGTATCAGTGTGAATTAAGGTAAGAAACTCCAGTATTTGTTTATGAGGTGGGTAGGGAAATGTCAGATAAAGTTACATCAGACCTGCCAAGGACATCAGATTTATTCTCTGCAACCTGACAGCATAAAAGGGGTCTCGTAGCCATTCTGTTCCCAAGTCTAACCCTCACTGGCTGTAAAAACCGATCCGCCCCCAAAGGGAGGAGATGAAGTGTTTTTAATAAGAAAATGAGCTGTTTGCAATGCGCTTTTAATTGGATCGATTTTTTCTTTATTACACAGTCTTTAAAAACCAAACACATACGTACAACCAGACAAGCTCTTTCTCCAGGTAGAGAGCAGAAGCCAAACTATTTCATCACAATCCTTAATTACTCCGCTTCGTCTCGTTTGGCAGACGATCACAACAGTGCGTGAGGGCATCACAGCAAGAAATATTAGCACTGCAAAATCATCTCGCAGTCACTGTCAGGTTTTGTCAGGGGACGTGTGTACCCTGGGCGAGGGACAGCAGGTTTTCTTTCTCCCTTTTCTGTCTGAAACCCAAGACGAGAAGAGCCGCAGGCGACACGTACCCTTAGGCGCCAATCGCAGTGTCCCGGCCCAGCAGTGCTTCGCAGGGTGGTGTTATTTTTCTTGGATCTCTGAGTGAGAAACAGATGACAGACGATTTGTTTGAACTGTGTAACCAGGAACAGGCTGGCGTAACCAACTGCTCAGTTTACTGGACCGGCTTTTATGTCCCTTCAAGCACTCCAGGAAATGTTATTGCTAGTAGTATGATGTTTATTGCGAAAAAAAATAAATCATTGGAACAGAAGACGACAGAGGTACATATTATCATAGATAATATTGCTTCAATTATTCAGGTCCATAGTAGCTTCCTGCTTGGAGCAGTTCTTAGAAACAGGAGAAATGTTTAAAAGAGATCAGTAGGAGAGGAAATGCCATTACCATAATACTGGAGAAAAGGCCTTGAGTTACAGTGTAATTAACTGCAGAACAGCCCAGCAATAGTCGTTATCTCCCAAAAATATACATGCAAGATGAGATCAGCTTCCCAAATTGCTGTTACATACCTCAGGCGCCTGCCCCCTCCTACCCAAAAGGAGAAGCAGAGAATGTAAATAATTACGTGCAAGTCGGTAGCCTCAGCAAACACACGGAGCAGCTTAGGAGGGAAGGGCGGGTTCAATTCCCCTGGGCTCCCTCAGCACCATCAACCTTGCTGGTGTCTTAGCTGCTACTTCCTTCTCCAAAAGCTTTTTCTAGCTAATTATAGCAAGAAAAATAGGAAGCTGCTGTGATGGAGGGGCATCTCCATTACACAGCTGGGTGTCTGTTGTGCTGGCCCTCTTCAGTGCTTCAGCTGAGCAGAACAGAGAGGAAAATAAACCAACAAAATCCCACCAAAATCTGCTCCCAGCACTTCTTCTGCAAACCCTGTAACTGCCAAACGACTGGCTGGGGCAGCAGCAGCTCTGAAACCTATTTTACTTTGTTGTTTCTCTAGGGGAAAGTATATGTGAGCTTGAAAAAAAAACCACCTGTTGCATACATGTTGTAGCACAAGTAGCAAACAATTTGTAGTAGCATGGCAGCCACCATAAAATCACCTTTTATATTGTCTGTCGTGCCCCCAAATTTGCAAGTATGTTGTTGATAGCAACAAATAAATGCACTGCAGTGCAACTATTATCTGTGGCAGATTAACATGCTACCACTGTGCCCTATTTAAATGCATCTTTCCTTCAATAAACTATTATAGGCGAGCAGCACCACACTGAGGTACACATTTATCAGTCAGGAGAGCAGCACTGTGGGGGCCTTGGTTCACACAGCTGCAGTTTTGTGCTTCATTTGGCCCAAAGCCGTGATGAACATGAACTCTGGTGCCTGCTGGTGCCATAACAAAAAATCTGAGGAATGTTGTATTTTGCTGTGCAAGGGAAAAAAAGGTAATGCACCAATGGATGTGCTTCCAAGTATTAAAATATAAAAGCAAAATAGTCTGTCCCTCCTCATCCCCATCTCAGCAGTGAGTAACCTGCACACACAAAGTGCAGACTGGGTAGAAACGTATCGCTAAATGAAATGGCCTGGAATACACAATAGTGAAGTGCAGGTGAACACACAATATGTTGCATTTAATCTTGTTTACTACAATCTCCCAGTCTTATTCCCCCAGCCCTTCCCTCCTCCCACATGAAGTTTTACATATCAGACAGTTTCCATGATACATTTAATAATAAAACAACAGTGAATATCAACTGTAGGTTTCCCCTGGTTTGTTTTCTTTTTCCCTCCAGCCCCCTCCCTTTTTACCCCCTTCTACCCAGCAGAACTCTTAGTAGTAATAAAAACCCTGCTGCCATCAGAGGGCAGTTTTCTAGCTCAGCTTGGTCTCCCATGATTGCACAGTACTCACTTCACATTGAACAGACACGGTTCACAAATGGCACAATAGGGGCGATCTCCTGAATACCAGAAAAATGGAGAGAGAAACCCCTCTCTCGTCAGTTTGAAAGTAAAGCTCCATCTCTGTGCAGTTTAAGAGGGCTATTTCGTTTTATGCAGCGCTGCAATCAGAAATTGCTTTCTCTAGTAGTTGCCCAGACAACTGCTACCCAGTTCCTTGTGAGTACCACAGCAAGAAGAGGATTGCCTCTGGTCCTCTAAGGGAAGGTGATTTAGAGCAGTCAGTCGGTGTTTATGGCACAAAGAAAGATACAATGGTTGAAGCTGGGAGTGCAGATGTGGCAAAAGGAAGTGAGAAGGCTTATGGGGTGACCAGTCATTTATAAAAGGAACAAATACTCCAGGAGGATGGATCCTTTCCTTCATGCTTGGTCTTCTTTATTGTATGGATTTTACATAAAAAAGAAGAAAAAGCAAACCACCACCACATAACCTATTGTTTCTAAACACAGAACATGACAGCCTCTATGCCAAACCCCCTTCAGTTATGGCACAATCTTCCTGAACGCTTTACACCAGTTCCTGTCAGATTGCAATGAGGCTGGAAGAATCTCTGCTGCCAGAAGAGGCTTTGCTTAGAGACATGCCACTAAGGGGTGGAATATCTTCTCAGATGGTAACTGTAGATCTTAATGCAATGATCCCAACAGTCTAGCACCAGCAGCTGCCCTTTGGGAGTAATGGCGATACCGATGGGACAGGTGAGTCCCTCCCGGATTAGGATATTGTAGCCACCTCCTTTAGGAAAATGCAGGATTTCTTTACGGCTGCTGTCAGCGACAATGAGGTCTCCCCTGGCATCGACGCACATCCCAGCAATGCACCTGAAATCCTCATTCTCGGAGAAGAAGTGGCTGATCTGCCGTCCCAGCTGCCCATCTGGGCCGACAGAGCCAATTGAGAAGCCTCCTTCCAAATGGTGTTCGTACTGCCGGTTTTCCAGGTTAAGCCCCAGCCCTTGAGTAAAGTATATGGTCCCTTCAGCATCGCAGGTGACAAACTTTGGGCGCACTGCACTACATAAACAACTGTACTTCACTACCCCGATGCTGCGGTCCACTGTGAAACACCAGAGTTTTCCTCCTTCCACGTCGGTCACTACAAACTGCCCGGAAGGCAGAGCGGCGATGCCCCAGGGCTTGCTTAGCTGGCTCCGGTGACACGCCACGCAATGGCCATCCATGGTGTAGACCTTGACAGAGTTATCGTAGCTGTCAGTCACACCTATCAGGCCGTGGCAGTTCATGGTGACAGAAAGGGGAGTCAAATTGGGCAAGTCTGCTCCAAGGAAACTCAGTACAAAGCTATCGATACCACTAGGGCTCCGGCGGATCTCCTTCAGGAAGCCCTTGCGGGTGAAAACCTGGATTCGGAAATTGCCTCGGTCTGCCACAAGCACCTCTCCTTGCAGGGTGACGTGCAGGCTGACGGGCAGATTAAACATCCCTGGCAAGCTGCCCTTGGAGCCCATCTTCTTGATGAAGTGACACTGCTGGATGCTTGTGGCTGCTTCAGGCATCCTTGGCTTGACTGGTGAGGAATTGGGTGTGCAGCTGGCCTCTTCTTGCACCAAGTCAGGCTCCCGAAATGATGCCGATGAGGATGCTGCAGTTTCCATGAGTGATTCCTCCATGTTAACGGTCCGGGGTTTCTTCACCACCTGCCCGATCTGCAGTGGTCCCATGTGGCTCACCTTAAGGAGTTCAACCTCGTGAAGAGTCAGCTCCCTTGGGAGACTGTCTGTCAGTTCTGGTTCCTCCTCGTCCACTGCCTCCTCCAAGAGAGCTATATCTCCCTGCTTTATTTTGGCAAGGAAATAGTCACAGCGAGACATTATCTGCACTTCTGCTAAGTTCAGCAGATAAGCTTGCTCCTCCATTACTTGATTATTTACCTTCTCCACTTCAGACAAAGAGGTGGTGAAGAACTTGCGTGACCTGGCCAGCTCTTCCTGGATCTTGCGCTCTTCTTTGCTGTAATCTTGCAGAACTGCTTTGTATCTAGATTGCAGGTCTCTCGAAACACCCTCCAGAGATGCTTTTCTTTTCTGGAGATCACCCATGAGCTCTCGAAGTCTGGCAAGCCTGGTCCCAAATTCCCTCCTACGCTCTTCAGCAGCCTCTTTGATAGCAATGACTCTGTGCCCTTGGGGCATGTGTGAGGTCTCCTTGCATGGTTCACACAGAACCAAGCTACAGCTCTTGCAGAAGTGTCTTGGCAACCTTCTCCCACAGACCTTGCACATGAGAAGGCCCACCACTTCCCCCAGTCCGGTGGTGTCTATGATCTTCAGCACAGTAAGATTGTCAGTCAGCTGAGCTAAGCTTGTGATCCGCGTGATTTTGCTGCAAAAGGGGCACCGTATCCCATTAATGCTGTTTGCTAGGAGCTTCTCCAAGCACTGTTTGCATATGGTGTGCCCACAGTGTAAGAGCTTGGGTCTCAGGTGCTCCTCAGTGAAGGACTCCATGCAAATAGGGCACTCCAGGACCTCTCGGAGTGCGTCCGAGTTGAGATGTGGGGCGGCAGCCATGGCTTTCCAAGGGCAGCTTTAGCCAGTGCAAGCTCTTGTACTCGCATCTATTCCAAGGTGCTCCAATTCTGTCCAGAAAGAGAAAAGGAAATGTGATTCATGTCATCACCAGCTGTTACATATACATGCAATTTATTTCTGATTTATCACCTAGCCCTGGAAAAAAGAAGCCCAGTTAGCTTTTCCACATTTGGAAAGGATGGGTTAGTCATAGCTAATCTCAAAGTGGGCAAATTCCAAAACTAACTTGCAGTTCCTAGTGCGATGAATTATTCACTTGCAAAATTTATAAGTAGAACTGAAAGAAGTGTAATGGTAGCAATAAGGAAGCCCAATAGATATTGATGACTGAATCATCTCCTCATGGTGCCCATCTCCCACTGCCAAGCCTCCGAGTTTACATAATTTACTGAAACCCGGGGAGATTAAACCAAGCATTTGAAATGCTGCGCATCGAAAGAGGAACCAGGTGGTGCAACGCTTTAGGACATCAATATATCATCTCTGGAGACTTGCCTTCAGATGTGACATCAGATACGAACAAAATAAATGTGGTGGTTTTACTCTGCTTTTCTAGATAAGCCAAAATAAATTTTCAAGGTTTCATACATTTGCCAGAAACTGAAACTAGAAGGAATGATTTGTCAGCTTTCACTCGTTCTGAGAGTGACTGTACATAGTGAAAGCACACAGCGAGGATTTTACGCCAGTGTGTTTCAATAACTCTGCCATGCTGCATCATGCTTCAGCATGCAAATTAAACACAGCTCGATGTGGCAGTGTTGTAGCAGGTATGAGCAACCATGGAGTTAACACACAACTCCAAACATTCATTAATATCTACTGCAAGCGTTCACTAGTCATTCTTGAACTTAGCTTAATTGCATGTAATTTCTCCTTATTCCACAGTCTTGCAGGGTTGACCTCATTCTGGTTCAGTTTTATACCACTCTGGTTGCCGTTCAGCTTCAATACAGGTTTCTCCATCCTTACATCCCTCACAGCAGGGAGCAGATCCCAGCAGCTCTTGCTAAAGCAGTCATCCGTTCAAAAGGAACAGAACAGGGTTCACATCATTAAGTTATTAGTCAGTAGAGCGGGTTTCAATACCTTTGCTGTTGCATTGCTCAGCTATTAAAAGAAATGGGGACGAAAACATTTCTTCTAGGGGGAGAGGAGGAAAAGGAAGTAGTTAATCTTTAAAATGAAGAGATGGTCACCGAGGGATGTGAACAGACAGCTTTTTCTGAGTAATGGCAGCATGCATGCAGCACTCTTGCTTCCCTGCTGGGTTTCCCTGCTACATCCTTGGGAGCATTGCAGACAGAAAGCTTCACTGTGTTTCAGTTTATCATTTGCTCAAGTGGAAGAAGACAATTGCAATGAAGAAAAGTTCTTTATGTTCATACAGAGAAGAAAAAGAATAGTTTAAATTTATCAGCTGCAGTTCTCAGTCCTTTAAAGCCCACATTTCAGGAAGGGATTCAGTGGCGTCGCAGAATCTCCACCAAGTACCAAGCTGGGATCTGATCCTTGGCTCGACAGTGGCACGAGGAGTAGCACATCCCTGGCACCTGGGGAGCAGTGGCAGCCCCAGCTCTTGCTGCCCCTGGCACTGAATACGCTTCCTTTTATTCTTAGCATGGGGAAGCAGAAGCCTGGGCACTGCCATGTAGATCAGAAACCTTCCTCTGAGGGATGAAAAATCTGTATTTTAAAACGATTTTTAAAAATGAAACACAGAGTACCACATCTATTATTCTTATTTCCTCAGAAATATGTCAAAAACTTGCTCAGAGAAGGATAAGGGAGCAGCAGACACCAGACACACCAGAGAGTTACATCAAAAACTACCTTTAAAACAAGTATTTTCATTAAAGAACAATGGCCGAGGGGATTTTGTTTAGTTTTAAGTTAGGTTTGGTTTTTAGAAAGATGATTTGAACGACATTCTTTTCATTTATAAGCCCCTTTTACTGGAATGACAGCATGTGCCTTAGTAACATGAAGTTATTTTTACAGCTACACTTTTATCTTCATCTCGCACCCGGCCCTGCCTTCATGGAAGTTTACTTCACAGCGAGATCTTGCGTATCCGTCCCTCCCAAGGCAGCCCCTCCAACACACAGCAGGGTATTAGAGCAAGCCTCAGCTGAGGATTAAGCTATCAAACTTCGTAAATTATGGGAGTTTGGCTTCCTTATATTAAAAAAAACCCTTCCTGCTGTAGTTTTTCTCCTCACCCTTTAGATTTTAGTTAGCATGTGCGGCAAGACGAGTTTCACTTGTAATTCTTAGCTTGTATCATTATCAAGTTAAAATAATAGGGTAAAGCTGCAAAATCTGCATTGTGACTTCTTCCCGCAGCGTTTACAGTATTTCAGTGTGGACTACCAGCCCACCATGACAATACCCGGGGTCTTGTCTTCTTTTTGCTGACAGCAAATGCATGCAGCATCTCCGGCCCGCAGCAGCACCGCGACCCCGGGGGGAGGCGGCCCGCGGGCTCTCGAGGGGAGAGGGGGCGGCCTCAGTGACCCGCCGGGCGGTACCGACGCCTGTTCCCATGGCAGGACGAGTCCCCTCCCGCC